ACCGGGAGTTTGATGGACGGGTCTGAAGTTACTTGATCAGCAGCAGGGGTGATTAGATGCAGAGTCCATTGAGGAGCCGAACCATATTCTGCTACCAATATTATGCAAGCAGTTGGTTTTCCACCATGAAGTAGCATCCGAGGCAGGTATTTTTATTTGGCAAGATGCACTCCTAAGAGCATCTCCAACAGCCGCGCTATGTCAGCGCCGTGCTGAAAAAGGAGGCGCAAAAACCGCGCGCGCGGCATATCTAGTTCAATGCGCGGGCCGAAACGCCATCACGCGCCGGTTATTTCCTGCGCCCGCTCCGCGCGCTGGACTCTCGAGCGCTCGCTCGCAACTCCACCAACCCAATCCATCCGCGGTGCCGCCGCCGCCCGCGCCGCCTGGCGATCGTTCCGGCGCTTCCCCAGCCTATCCCCGCGCTGTGGCGGCTTCCTCCCGCGCCCCTCTAGTCACACCGCCGCCCCTTGCGCGCGGTGGTCCTCCGACGAACAGCGCGCCGCGCTGCATTTTGTAATAACGAAATTGAACTATTTATTGTTGATTTATTTTGTTTGTGTTTGATCTTTTTACTTGAGTATGGAATGCATATGTTGTTTGTGCGAGAGTCGCGCACGCTACATTTTTGCGCGCTGCGCGCGCGCTGCATTTTAGCGCTGCCCGCCGCGCCAAACCAGGCGATGGACGCGCGACAAAGTAGTTTTTAGCGCGCGGCGTGTTCGGCGGCTGTTGGAGATGCTCTAAGTCCCGAGGAGTGAGTGACAGCTTCTGCATGTGCAAGTGCAACATTAGCAATTTAGGATGCAGTCATTCAGTTTTGTATGGAGGCTCCGAATTGAAAATGGGCCTTTTATTTTTGTAAGTTTTTATTGTGAGTGAGATTGAGAAGGGGCTGCGCGGCTGTTAGCTTGAACGGGCTAGTTTTGCGCTTCGATTCGACGTTGGAAAACAGGTCTGGGGCATTCTCTTCTTTGTTGGAACCCTAGCAGCCAGCTCCCGATCCCCTTCTCTCCCGTTCTTGACCTTCCACGGCGACGGCGGCTCCCCTCCGCCTTTCGCCGACCCCCCGCCCAGCTGACCGCTGCTCCCCTTCGGCTCCCTCCCGGTGGTCTGCCATCTGCCGTTGCCGACCCGCTTCTCGTCCAGGCACGGGATCTGAGGACGGCGATGGGCCAGGCCCCGTCGCTGCCTGACGATGCGGTGTCGGACGTCCTCCGCCGCCTCGCGCCGCGCGACCTCGCAGCGTCCCGCCGCGTCTGCAAGTCGTCGCGCCGCGTCGTGGACGGCCACGGCCTGCTGCGGGCAGACCTCCTCCCTCTCAAGCTGGGCGGCATCTTCCTCAACTTCTTCCAACTACAGTCTGCTACGCAGTTCCTTTCCCGGCCGGCTCGGCTACACCTTGGATGCTTGCCATCCGGACTACGATTTTCAGCCCGTTCCCTACGTGCTTGATCATTGCAATGGCCTCCTCTTGCTCCACCACTGCGTGGTCAACCCTGCGACGCAGCAGTGGGCGCCCCTGCCCCCGGCCCCGGACCTGCCCAAACCCGCACCTTCAATCAAGCATGTTTATAAATCCCGGTACCTGGTGTTTGACCCCATGCATGCTGTCGCCCAACCATTTCGACTTGCTCATAATGCCAGAAATTTCTTTCATGGAAGAATGTGAGGAATTTGAATGGCCACCGTCCACATTGATCCTTCCTGTGTTTTCATCCAAGATTGGTTCATGGGAGAAGAGGACATTTTATCGGGATGGGGAAGCTGCAGGGACGGTACCTGGCTTGGTTGGGGTAAGACTGGATTGCAATGAACGTCAGTCTGCCTACTGGAGAGGATCACTCTATATATGTTGCGACAACTGTTTTATTTTGAGGTAGTGTATTTTACCAACCCGGTCAACTCCTTGAGCACCTTATGTATGCTATTCTGGTTTTGGTTTTGAGAAATATTTTCCAATTTTTGTTCTTGCAGAATATCACTGTCAGACAACAGTTATCGAGTAATAAGACTCCAACAAGATTGCCCGAAGACGATTCAAAATGTGATCAACAGTTTTACCTAGGAAAATCAACCAAGGGGATATATTGTGCATCAAGAGTCACGTCACATAGGTCCCACCTTCAGGTTTGGTTCCTTAATGACCCGAACGAGTGGGTTTTGAAGCATGACAAAGATATTTTCCCTGTCCTGCCAAGTCTCGACTATGGCAACCCATGCGATGGACCTCGGATCCTACAACAATTTGATGAACATTCTGATGAAGATGATTCTGTTGTGGAGGAAAATAGGGAAGCAGTGGAAATGGAGAAATTTGAAGCAATAGTGAAACAAGGGAAATTTGAGTGGGACTCGGAAAATGATAATGTACTTGAACCGGGAAGTAGCTGCGGGGGAACTGATACATGTTTCCATGGATTCCATCCTTTCAAAGAGGTTGTGTCGTTCGTGACTCTGTGGAACAGAGTGCTAGCCTATCATTTGCCGAGCTCAAAGCTTCAAGATTTAGGCAAGCTTTTTCCAGAATTCTATGTGGATCGGCACCACACTTACTGGCATACACAGGTGGAAGAGTCTTTCCTGCATATATTAAAATCGCAGGAGAAATGATTTCGCGGTGGCCTCTCCCAGCAGCTATAGCGGCCGCCATAGCAGGCAATCGCGGCAAATAGCGAAAAAAATTCTGGTGGAAGAGATGATTTCTAGAGGGTTTTCGTCATTGTTGAGCCATTTAGAGGGATTTGTGAAGGATTTCGCGGCAGCAGCCATAGCGTAGCGGTAAGGCTCCTGGGCAGCTATAGCGCAGCTATCGCAGCTATTTCGCGGGCTATTTTAATCTATGCTTTCCAGTACACTCCCTGCTGGTTAGGGGAGCTTCCTCAAAAACTAAACTAGTTGGAAGGTATCCTAGAAGAATAGAATGCTTTTGTGGCAACTATTCAAAGGATGGAACACTTTTATATTTGTGCACAAAGATTGTTTGTTCCCTGAGAAACTAAATCTAGACATGCCTATCTCTGGCTAGAATTTGCTTATTTTCACTGTTGTTTTGATCGAGTACCACCGATCCTGAATGTATGCTTACAAGTTGAGTGCCTTGTGACCCTCCTATTGTGGTGTAGTCGCTGTCTTTGTGAAGAGGGTTTGGTTCCCCTGGTTTGACACCTTTGGTGGCGGTTGTGGCTTGTTGTTCCTGCGCATTGTATTTTCCATAAATTGTGAGAATCTGGCTCGTGCGCTGCTGATTCCAATTCCTGCACTTCTCTGCCTCTCCGCGAACATTGGAATTACCTCCACAAAATATTCTTCACATACCTATTTATCTTCTGACCTAGCATTGGACATTAGCATGGCATGTGAAATCTCGATCCCTAAGATCCTAAACTAGCACGACAACATGACTCCGATGGTTTGTCTGTATGTCTTTACACTCTACCAGAACGGAATTACCACCTCACTTCAAATAGAAAAAAGAAGTAAAGAAGAACCACATTACCACCCAGAGTATATATGCTGTATATGTCACTCACAATATATTCAGCATATATCCACCAGTTAAGGTGATTGATCTCGGCTGTACAAATCAATTCAGTTAGCTGCGCCTGTCAGTAACTGCTTGGTGAATGTGTTGAGAGACGACGATGGCCCGGTAGGCGGTGTTGAGAAGCTAATGGGCTGAAATGAATGGATGTGACCCGACTCGGCCAGCGATCCCCCCTTTGACCGAACCTCTCCTCACTTAGTGGCTGTTTGGAATCTGTGAGTGGATAGGGGTGGCATTGCAATGGTTCTTGCTTGGTAACATCCTCTGCTGGTGATCATTTCGATCAGCGCCAGATTGGTTTATAAACAAAGCGGTAGCCTGCAGATGCAAATTGCTGATTTTTTTTTGGACCTCCTCTTCGTGTGCAGTGCTCATATCTAACGGTATATACCAAGTGAGAATTCTGCTCCATGCGTATTTTTCTTCCATTTATGCTCATTCCATTTCTAACAGATGTGCATACATGCTCTGTTGTCCAGGGAGCGGGAAGAAATGCACTTAGGACAATGTTCTAATTTCTCCACCTTCTATCATTTGTTTCTTTACGATGGTTCCCAACAGGCAAATACTCTTTCCCTTGTCTCAATATTTATCTATATTAAACTGATTGAGTTTAATCATGCATTCTGTATGATTGCATCTTGATTGGAAGCGAAACCAGAAAGGTTAACTGTTAATCGTGCATCTATGAAGGACTGCATGATTGCATCTTGTATTCTGTATCGTGCTTAGTGGGTATAGTCTTTCACGATTTTGCATTCATGTTAGCTTAGTTGTATATTGACATATTGTTTTGCTTAGGCTATAAAAAACATCGAGCTCACTGGACCTCATTGTGCATATAAATCTGTGGTAGCATAAATGCTTTGAAATGTGCAAAGAATATAATATATCTTTCAAAATGTGCAATGCAGTTGTCTTTTTACGTTTGATTAAAGATGGATGACGCATGAGTGATCTTGAATAATTAGCTGCCGAGACAAAATTTCCGGTGTGCTCCTGCTAGGGTATCAGACTTTGACCTTGGATACATAAAGGCATCAGCTCCTTTAAATGAGTTCCCTGATGTCTCAGCTTCTAATTTTGAGAACATTTTCACTGCACTTTCTTTGTGTTGAACTCTTCCTGGAGATAATTTTCTGTATTTATCTATTAAGAAGAAAGGGAAATCTTTGATATAGCCTGATATTTTCATGTATGTCTAGGCACAAAATATGGAAAGATTGGGCTGCATCATAGTACATATCGGTAGTACATATATCAATTCAGTAACTTACAGTATTATCAATTAGGAACATAATCAGAATGTACAGTGCACAGAGAGATTTATGGAACTGTTAAACAGCACACCCGCTAGTACATAAGGGGCAAATCCACCTGTAAATCTTAATCTACCAGCTTCACAAAATCAGAAGATCATAACAAGAAGTCCCGAACGTACAGGAGTTTCGTCTTATCGGCCATCTGGATGCATGATCTCTGAGAATACAACTTTCTGTCCTGAGATGCTCACTGTTGAACCTGAAGATGGTCGAACCCTGGTGGCCATGAGTGATGACGTGTTCAACAATGGTGTCTCCTCGGAGAGATTGCAGTCATCCTCCTGCAGCTGTAGTGCGACCTGGAGGCTCCACAGGACATCACCCATAGATGGCCTATCCACGCTATGTTCAGCAACACATTGCTCCGCGGTCTCTGCAAATTTTCTGAAGCACTGGGGGGTGATTTTGTCCATAAGATAGGGGTCGATGATCTCGTTGAGCACGCCTTTTCTCTGACAGGACAGTGCCCATTCACGCAAGCCCACTTGCTCCTCAGGAAGCTCAGGATCTATTACTGGACGTGCGCACAGAACCTCAAACAAAACAACCCCAAAGGAGTACACATCTGATTTGTTGGTGAGTCGCTGCTTCCGGAAGTACTCAGGATCTAGATATCCAAAGGTGCCTTTCACAACAGTGCTCACATGGGTATTGTCCACGTCTTTACTAGCCTTAGACAACCCAAAGTCCGAAACCTTTGCCACCCACTTGTCATCCAACAAAATGTTAGTACTCTTCACATCACGGTGGATGATGGTCTGTTTTGCACCGGTGTGCAGGTAGTGCAGCCCCAGTGCGACCCCAATGCATATGACAAGGCGGTCCTCCCATGGCAATGGTGGTTTGTTGGTGTTGTACAAGTGCTCCTGAAGTGTCCCATTGGCCATGTAATCGTACAACAAAATCATCTCAGACTCCTCATCACAATAGCCAATTAGTGACACAAGGTGGCGATGCCGGAGATTGGTTAACATCTCGATTTCATTCCGAAATTCCTGGATGCCCTGCCTGGACAGCGGGTTACCACGCTTGATTGCCACCTTCTTCCCACCAGCTATCTGACCGTGGTATACATTCCCAAACCCACCTTTGCCTAGGAGAAAGGCCTCATCGAAGTTGTTGGTGGCTTCCTGGATTTGCATGAACGAGAAGTGGTGGCAAAGCTTCAAATCCTTTGTGTGTGAGGTAGTTGATGCCAATTCTCCGTGTCCCTTTGGAGGGTTCCAGTTGGTCTTGCCATGCGAATATTTAGTTTTCTTCCGTCTGTACATAACGCAGAAACATGCAATCAATAGGGCCAAGAAACCAACAACAGCTCCACCTCCAGCGATTGCTGGGATTCTATTATATGTTTTATTTTGACCATGAGATGCTTTCCCATCATGATTTTTCTTCAGCGTAGGCTTGACCCCTGCAAGATTGTTGTTGCTGTTATCCTGTAGCTTGAAGACCTCCAGGCCATTCAGAATTGCATCATAATATTCTGGACGGGTACTGAGATCAGAGTGCAGTGCTATCCACAGATCTGTCTGGCCATGACCAACTGTGATAATGATGTAGTTGGTGTAAATTGGTATACCAGCTCCTCCACTCGAACGAATGACATCCATCTGCACTGCTGTCTCGTTGTTGATGTATATGAAGAAATTCCTCTGGTTTACCTTGGTTATTGGATATTGTATCTCACAGAAATGGAACCTCAAAAGGTAGTAAAACCCTGCATCGACTGGCAAAATCCATGTAAGATTGTACATCATGTTGATACGTGCATTTATCCCCATAGATCTTGCTGTCCAATAGACGTCGATCGGTGCTATGTAGTGTGATATACTAAGTGGGTAACTGATTGTGACACTGCTATCTTTGAAAAAAGTCATGCCACGTGAAGATCCATAAATATAGCGGGAGTCATCTTCCCATGAGCGGTAAAAGTCAGGATCATCATCTGTAGAGAGTGTCGCACCCCCAACATTAAGACGGTACATTGTTTCAAGGCTTATGATGGAGGAAATCGGGATTAGATCTGGGAACCCACCATTCACAAATCTTGGCACTGGTATCGTGAAAATATCCGGGCTGGGCACAATCTCAATGCCGTTCACAAATGCGTAAGAGCCAGTGTGGTGTGGTGATGGGGAAAATGTGAGGTTAAGTCCACGTGAAGTAATATTCAAGGAGTATTCACGGATGAGGTAAGTGCGACCCGTGGCCTGAGCAGTCTGGGAAGGATTAAAGTCACTCAGAAGGCGATGGAGTCCTGCAGTGACACTAAACGAAGCATCCACAACTGAATGTTCACCATAAGAAGTTGGATAGAAATAGAGCCGAAGGAACATGCGGCCAGGGCCAACCCCGAGAAGATATGTGAAGTTCGAACTGAGGATGCGAGCATTCATGTAAGGTACTACAGAAGGAAGCGAGGGGTCTAGGTATGACGCATTAGCTGAAAAGCCAGGAAGAGGTACCTTCCTTAAGTTAGTGTCTCCTTCCCATATTCGACCATCATAATCACTGGCACTGCTGGTGGCGCCACATCTCAGGCGGAGCTGGTCAGAGCCATTCCAGTTGCCAGACACCACGGGAAGCAACAAGATAGCTATGAGTGCAAGGCATAGGTGGACAAATAGTAGCTGGATTTGGTAAGCCATTGCTGACTGTTAAGATCAAATGTATGAGAGTTTATTTTCTTCGATATATTGTTCCAAGAACAATTGTACCTATCAAGAGTATCAGACTAAGACCAGAGATTTCAAGAATTAGGAAGGAAAGTTGATTTTGTGTAATGCCTTGTCTTATTGGTGTGGCGATTGCACAGCGGGACCCCACCTGAACTTGAATAAAAAGAAAAAAATAATTAGCTTCAAAGTGGGTGATGACCTAATTTGCAGCAATGCGGGGTACTCGTCAATAAGAAATGACACATCCGCGTTTGAAGAGACTAGGACGGTAGGAAGAAAATCATGTGTAGCTAGCAAATACAAATTAACAATCCCTACAAGAGCGATAGAAAGCTAATAATTTGAAAACAAATAAAGGTCATCAAGTTTTATATGCACAGGAACATGTTTAAGACAAGTGATTCGAATCCAAATGTTAACAAGACAGTTGCCAACGGGAAACTGTGAACTTTGTGAGCACCGGGCGAAAAAGTCCTTAACATTTTCTTTTTGAATTGAAATTGAAGAACAATAATTACAAGAAGGATGCTAGTGACTCCCGTTATCAGGAACCATTAAATTCAAAGGACCTATTCATATGGTTCAATCAAGTCGTCCATGCATATACTGGTTTCTACTGCAGCCAAGCAATAATCATTCATTGCTCCAACTCTTTTATTTCCTGGTCTGCTCAACTCTTCTAGATGAGAGAACTTCCTGAAAACTAAGCATTAATCATTTTGTTACGCCACCAGAGTTTCTACCTCTAATCTGATTAATTATTATATGAAATACCTTGATGGATATGATTAAGGCTGCCTATAATTCTCCAATTAATCTTACCAGTCATGCACCTATGATTTTTTCTACACACTAAATCTTGGGATAGGACTAGGATAGTTCAATTTTGTGCAAGAGCTCATAGGTTCATGTCCTCCCTACAGTACATTTTTTTTTACTCCGAGTCCTCCTGTTATGTATGTGATGTACATGGCTGGATAAATATTCTTAGTTGTTAGCCTTTGAGTAGTTGCTATCTTTAAGTATTAGCTCTATGTATAAGGACGTCCTCTTTTACTCATTCCAATTAAGGTGGGAATAAACTGATACAATCCCTGCTCTAATTCCAGTCTCCTTTCTCAGAGTCCTCTCCTGACTCCTTCCGCTGAAGCGTGGCGGCCATCAAAGTGCTGTCGCCCCTCTTGCGGTTCAGGTTAGTTGTCATACCATGCTCCATAACACTTCCCCATAATAGATATAATCTAATCCCTCCGTCCCGTAATAGAAGATCTTATTACATCCAATATACTCACATATTGGATGTAATAAGATCTTATATTATGAGAAGTAGAGAGTATTATTTAGCTAACAAATCCCAGTCTCCTTTCTCAGAGTCCTCTCCTGACTCCTCATAACACTATTAGCATCCATTATTTAGATAATAAATCTCAAGGAGTGCACAAACAAAGACGAGTAATGGAAGAGGGATTGGAGAAATCATAAGATTACGTTTACCTGATAAGATGGCCGAAACTGCAAATTGCTAGTGAAAACAAGGTCGAACATCTGCAGGACAGACCATGTAACACTGGTGTTAGCTATGTGTTGGGTGGATGAAGTGACCAAGGGACCAGGCGATGATGTTTGTGGGGGTAAAACGGAGGATATATGGAGTGGAGTTTGACAAAAAAGGACCTGTACTTTTCACAAAATTGGACGAATAACTATTTCATTTGCTCCACATTAATTATTTCTGTTTTTAGGTTTATAATGCTGATCTCAGAACATCAAAATTTGTATGGAGTAATCGATAAAATGGGAAATGTAATAGGATTATAAAATGAAGACCCATACTCTGGTCAGTGGCATGCCTGAATTAAAAAAAATAATAATTAAGTAGCAGAGCACCAGTAGACCGTATCACGCGTCCAGGCCATGATGGATGGTGGTGCTTGCACTAGTTTGGCCGGCAGCAACTTCCTCAGCTTTGGGCTAGCATTGGCATCATTTGAGCGCTCTCCTTTTCCCCTAAAGGAGCACCATCGCATTCAGAGTAGTGTCGTGGATGCAACCTTTTTGTTTACCACGTGCATTAATAATGCTACCACTGCCCTGCTCTGCTGTTGAAGATATATGGCGGCCGATGGACCACCTCTTCGTCGGCTGCCCCCGCACACGCGCTGCCTCTGCACTTACTGCACTGATTAACACCCAAGCCATGCATGGATGCTGCTGGCGACACTGAAAAAACAATTGTGAAACTGAATAAACAAGTTGAGATGTCTGCCGTATTTGATCAAGAACGACTAGGGGAATAATAAACCCAAACAACTTGAGGTAGAAATTGAATTCTTTGTAAAAGCTCATGGTGCAGCTTGATCGGGACCTGGATGGAGACTTGGTGGCAGTGGCTTTGACTACGAATTCCCAGTCATCAGCATCGATATCATGGGGAAGATTCTTCCACCACTGGTCAGTTCACTACTCCGCACCTTTTTTCCTTCCTTTTCTGAAATACACCCATCCGGTCGCTGAGGATTCTCAATCAAAGAAAAAAAAAGTTGAGTTGTTCTTGTACGGAGTACTGGTCTGGCGGCTGCCTGTAACGCAGCTGGAGCTGGGAAAACCACCAGTGCGTTGCTTCAGGTTCCACTTCCAGAGCTGCAACCAGAATCTTCATACATCCAGCTCGAGGGATGCGAGCCCCCAGAACCCATGAATTTTCGTGGGATCTGTCCATATATAACTTCCTGAAAATTATACAGCAAGTTAGGAACTGCTTGACCAAACTAGAATTATCAGGAAATTTTAATTAAGCTGTCCACTTAGCGATTCATCAGGCTTTCTCGAAGGAATCACGGGCCAATCTCTTTTGCAACCTCCAGCTTCCTTCGGACATAACCCACCTACTCCCTACTTTTCAGATAATTAAAGTTCCAGTCTTTTTCTAAGTCATCCGCACGGGCTGACTTGGACTTTGACGGAGCTAAGAGGGCATACAAGTCACCCTTTCTCTTCCCTTTTTCCTTGGAAGTTCAGATGTCGAAATCATGGGCCCCTAGTTGAAAGTATAGGTCACAAAGCTAGCAAGGATTTGAAGGGAAAATGAGATGCAAACAAACAACTTGATGGTTTTTGGTTGATATCAAGATAATCCGTCAGCCAACATTATATTGGACCTAGCTCCAATAAAAAAACATTTGCTGACCTGTACGCCCTCTGATTAATTCTGACTTGATCTCTGAAGCGCGAGATTGAAAACTTTATCGCAGTGGCTTGGTTTCAAAGTCATCGGCATCATGATTAACAGTTTTACAGCATCATGGGTTGTTCCGCACCATGGCACCACATCAACTGCCATCTGAAACGCGTGCTGCAGCTTCATCACTGACAGGAGACTTGGACTTTGAATTTTCAAAGTCATCGGTATCGTGGCGAGAATTCTTCCACCACTGCACGCCACAGCTGGCTTGGCTCCTTTGTTTTCTGAAATAAATATACATCGGCCCCTTCCCCTTGCTCGTGGAATAAACGGAGATAATTCTCTTTGCTTCCGTTCACCAATGGCTGGCACCACTCACCTACTTGCCCTCTTCGCACTCACACAACTCTACATGGTAGCTGCATCTACTTCTGATGCCCATGCTCATGCCCATGATAACGACACAGCTTCTTTCTTCTGCCATCCGGACCAAGCTGCAGCACTTCTCCAACTAAAGCAGTCATTCATCTTCGACTACTCCACTACCACCCTGCCATCATGGCAACCTGGTACCGACTGCTGCCTCTGGGAGGGCGTGGGCTGTGACGGTGTTTCTGGCAGCAGCAGCAGCAGCAGCAGTGTCACAGTTCTTGACCTCGGCGGCCGTGGCCTCTACAGCTATGGCTGCCATGCCGCGCTATTCAACCTCACCTCCCTACGCTACCTCGACCTCAGCATGAACGATTTTGGTGGATCTCGCATTCCGGCAGATGGCTTCGAGAGGCTATCCAAGCTCACTCACCTCAACCTTTCTTATTCAGGCTTCTAAGGTCAGATTCCTATCGCCATCGGCAAACTCACAAGCCTCGTATCATTGGACCTTTCTTCAGTTCATAATATTGAATCAGCTGAAATCACAAATCTTTATGCTATCATGGATAGCTATAACTTTCTGGTGTTACGAGAGCCCAGCTTTAAGACCTTACTGGCAAACCTCAACAATCTGAGGGAGTTGTACCTTGATGGAGTGGACATATCTAGTAGCAGCGAGGAATGGAGCAGTGATCTAGCTAAAGCTGTCCCCCGTCTTCAGGTTCTTAGCATGGAGTACTGCATGCTTAGTGGTCCAATCCACTCCTCCCTGTCAAGTCTCCGATCCCTTACTGTGGTCAACCTCAAGCTTAATGGTGGAATTTCTGGTGCGGTTCCTGAATTTTTCACGGACTTTCTCAATTTAAGTGTTCTTCAACTCAGCTATAACAACTTCAGTGGCTGGTTTCCTTGGAAAATCTTTCAACTCAAGAATATAAGAGTCCTTGATGTGTCACACAACAAACAACTGTCAGGGCATTTACCAGAATTTCCAAGTGGGGCTTCTTTGGAGACTTTGAATCTACAGTACACTAATTTCTCTGGTGTCAGGCTGAGCTCTTTTAGCAATCTCCTGTCTCTGAGGGAGCTAGGTTTTGCTGGAAGATCAATTTCTATGGAGCCAACTGATTTATTGTTCAACAAGACCAACTCCTTTCAAATTTTGCAGCTCTCTTTTGCTCAATTTTCGGGAGAGTTAGGACCATTTTTCTCATGGATTAGAAGCCTTAAGAACTTGACAAGCTTGCACCTCTCTCATTGCTATTCCTCCAAGATAATGCCCCCTTTGATTGGCAACCTCACCAACTTGACAAGTTTAGAGATGACTTTCTGTGGTTTCTTTGGGGAAATATCACCATCAATTGGCAACCTCAACAAGTTGACTTCATTGAGAATCTCTGATTGTGCCTTCTCTGGG